ATCTCTGTTCTTAGAATTATCAAACACACAGTGGTTGCCTGGAGACTTCCACACAAACTTCTTGATTTGTAAAGAAACAAAGAAGTCTGCATTTACTTGCTGTTTTTAATCTCCCATGGCAGCTTCCAGAAATTACCTTTTTAATTCTTTTAGGTCACGTGGCAAAAGGTCCCTTCCATTGATTCAATTAATGCCTCACAACTCAATGAGGGGAGTTAGCTATTGACCATGCTTTTTGGAGTTGGTTGACAAACTGTGTGTGTGAGAGAGATAAAAAGCCCCATCTTTAAAAATAACAAACTTGACTAGATACTAGAATACTGCTCATAAATTAGAGATACAGCTTCCCTTTGGTGTAATCCTGAAAAGGACTACAGAGGGGGAATGTCAAGAGCAAGCTTTGTAGCTCAAGGCAGAAGCTCTAGACAAGTAACTGTTCTACTCTAAAGTACCAGAAAATAGTTTCACAACATTTAACAATGAGCAGAAGTCTGTTTTCAAGGGGTAAGATTTCTAAAATCTTCCATGCAATTTAAAATGTTTTAATTTCTTCTCCTAACAAGTTTATCTAGTTAATGTTTTAGACATTACCTTAGGAGAGAAACAAAAAATCCCTACTCTCATCCACTTCACTGATATTTCCAGGTGATAAACCTGACAAAGAACATATTAGTGGCCATCAATTCCCACTTGCCTTACATTGGCAGAACATCCTTTTTAATTCACAACACTGCAGTTAAGTTCTGATCAGTGTTTTGGATAGGCCAAGGTAGTAGATAACAGAGACTGCTGATAAGAGAATAAAGAGATAAAATAGTGTGATTTTTAGAGTGAAGAGGCAGGCAATGCCTCTCTAACAGCCTTCCTTGTATCCAGGTAGTTATAAATAGGGCCTGGAAGGAACGTGGTTGCATAATTACAAATTAACTATGAAGGAATATGAGCCTATAAAAAGAAATGCTACAGACATGAATTTACATCAAGCATCTTCTGGATCCCGGCTCTCTAATTTACACCAGCTCATCCATAAAAAGAAGTTATTATTGTTCATGATGAGTATAAGGAAGCCATACATGGAGCCTTGCTTGGGCAGAATCCAGACAATACAGGTGGCTCTTCAGGCAGACAAAATCTTGTTTAGATGTGGATCAGGTACCTCCACTGAGTCTTCTGGACAAGTTCAATTTATTTTGTTCCTGCCCTTCCCCCAGAGAATTTTTACCTGCAAAGACTCTTTAGTAAATGAAATACCCAGGGAACCAGAGACAGACATTTAAAAGGAAAACAGTTCTTACTGATGTCAGATAAGAGGAGGAAGGCAAAAATCTTCCTTCTGATGAAGCATTGCTCAGTTGAAATCCTCCTGTTTAAAATTTGTTTTCAGATTCACAAAAACATGATTAGTTTAAATTAAATTTCATGGAAAATTCATGAAAATTCCCTTAAATGCTTTATGTTTACAGCATATAGAATCCCCAAATTTATTCTAATACTAACAATCACTCAAATCCTAACAATTGAGAAGACAAGACCTTGGCCTTCCCTCGATACTCTTCTTACTTCTTTGCTCTTTATGCTTGTCAAGGTGAAGACAAAGCTCCTATGAGAGATCAAGTGAGACTGTTGATACACGTATTTCATGGCTACAGAGGCCTCTCAGGAGTGAGATACTTCTCTCTCAGCCTCCCAAAGCAGCCAGGCACACAGCTGTCATCACTATAAACTGAGTTGGACATTTATTTTTTCCTCCTGTAACCATCTGCAGTCAGGGAATGAACTGATGCTCCACCTGCTGGAAAGAACTACATGAGTTCCAGAATTCAGAGAGTTCTTCCTATGGGGAAGATGCAATCCTTTAAGACACAAGAAAGCCATCTCTTTAGTCAGCAGACAAAAAATTAGCCAAGGATTTAGCTCATCTAAGATTCTATTCCCTCTGCTAAGAACTTAGTGCAGATCTTCTGATGCCTCTGAAAGCTTCTGACTTTTACAGAATAAACAACCACCAGACAACTGTGACTCTGTGCACAAATCGCTTTCGATTAAAACCACAGGTTTAGATTAGATGTTAGAAAGAAATTCTTCCTTGTGAGGGATGAAGCACTGGCACAGGTTGCCCAGAGAAGCTGCGGCTGCCCCAGCCCTGGGAGTGTTCAAGGCCAGGTTGGATGGGGCTTGGAGCAACCTGGGCTAGTGGAAGGTGTCCCTGTCCATGGTAAGGAGTGGAACAAGATGGTCTTTAAGGTCCCTTCCAACCCAAACCATTCTGTGGTTCTGTGATTTTAAGTAACACTTTTGCTAAGAGTCTGATCTTGGTTAACTTGTTTGGTGCAACACGGAATATAACACAAAGCTGAAAAGCTGCTGCACTCCTCTTCCTCTCATTTGTACTAGCTTTCTCTGTACTCTGAATTTTTCCAATGGTAACAGAAAAGTAGCAAAAGAACAAAAACCCAAACAAATTCAGCAGTGTAAAACATCTGCTGAACGTTGCCAGGCTGACAAACTACACCTACAGCAGGTTAAAATAGGAATCAGGAAAAGAAGCTCAAAGCCTTGAGGTAGAAATGCATCTGGCAAGATCAAAGTCAGACAGCTCGTACCACACTCTTACAAGTGAAGTTCCTTTATGAATTGTGTTATGATTTACAGTGGACTTTGTTTCATGATTTACAATGTGTTTCTTTAAGCTCAAACACAGATGCTTCAGATACATCTATAATGATGCTTGGAAAGAAATCTCACACTGACCCTCAGGCAGCCTGAGCCACTCGAGTTGGTCAGTCTGTCTCTACCACATAAATAATGACCAGAGAGGCAGCTCCGACCTCTGCTCTCTGTGAGCAGGGACAGGACCCCAGGGAACGGCTGGAGCTGTGTCAGGGCAGGGTTAGGCTGGATGTCAGGAAAAGGTTCTTCCCCAAAGGGTGGTTGGGCACTGAACAGGCTCCTCAGGGCAGTGGTCACGGCCCCAAGGCTGCCAGGGCTCGGGGAGTGTTTGGAAACGCTCTCAGGGACAGGGTGGGATTGCTGGGGTGTCCCATGCAGGGCCAAGAGTTGGACTCCATGATCCCTGTGGATCTGTTCCAGCTCAGGATATGCTATGATTCTAAAGTTCTGAAAATAAAATAATAAACATATACAACACAGAACATTAATCTGACAGTTAACAAACATCTCCAAATGAAAAAGAAGCCAAAAGTGTCAGAACCATCCCTACTGAACTGGGACTTGCAAGGAAGATGAGGATGCTGCTCTAACTGGTGGGAACTGACTGCTTTCCATTTCACTAAAGCCAAGCACTTGAGAATGCAGAAGTAGAACCTCTTCCCTCCCTAAAACAAAACCATTTTAAGTAAATAAACAATTGTTATATTTTGTCTATTCAGTTTTGCGTTCCCGGGGAGAAGCTGAATAATATTTTCAAATCCATCTTGATAACCACAGAAGCTGTAATTTCTGAGAGATTATTTTCTTATCTGACTAAAACTTCTAAGGACACCACCAAAGAATTTGCTCTGTTGGAGTTCAGCTCAGCAGCAAAAATAGTGAAAGATTCAGTAATGCCCAAAGGGAAAAACTGCAGACAGTTCAGATCTGAAGTTTGTGATGTTTGACAGCATTTAATGAGTGATAATGAGCAACACTTCAGATCATACAGAAATCACTAATATTCAAGATATCAAAAACCTCCTTATGACTTAGTCCAGATAACTTTTTTAAGCCCAAGTAACTATGTCAGAACACTCACTGCCTTGCCTAACACCACACACACGGAGCAGTGATGGAAAAGGGGATGAGCTCCTCTCCACTGGAATACTTACATGATCTCTAGCACATAAGGGCAAGTAAGAAGAGAGTTGCTTATTTTCTCATTCATTAGCAGCTTCAGGAAAACAAAAGCAGCTAAGAGACTTACTCCTCCATATCCTGTTTCCAATAGCCAAAGGAAGGCTTCCAGCTCTGGGGCTCCAAATTAACAAGGACGTGGAGCTGCTGGAGCAGATCCAGAGGAAGCCACAGAGATGCTCCAAGGGCTGGAGCCCCAGTGCTCTGGATCCAGGCTGGGAGAGCTGGGGGTGTTCAGTGCAGAGAAGAGAAGGCTCCAAGGAGACTTTAGAGTCCCTTCTGGTGCTTAAAGGGGCTCCAAGAGAACTGGAAAGGGACTTTGGACAAGGAAGAATGGCTTTAAGCTGAAGGAGGGTAGGTTTATATGAGATATAAGGAAGAAATTTTCCCCTGGGAGGGTGGTGAGGCCCTGGCACAGGTTGCCCAGAGCAGCTGTGGCTGCCCCATCCCTGGAAGAGTCCAAGGCCAGGCTGGACGGGGCTTGAAGCAATCTGGGATAGTGGAAGGTGTCTCTGCCCATGGCAGGAGATTGAAATCGGATGCTGCCAAAGGTCCCTCCCAACCCAAACAGTTCTGTGATTCTCTGATCTGCAAAGGACAGAATGAAGTGGTAGAAAGGCCTAAGACACTCAACCGCTTTTCCCAAAGTATTATTTTCCTAATGTGAAAAGAACAATTGAGAGCATAAGTAAGTTAACAAAGGCATAAAAGCAACACAACAGGACACAAGCAAAGTTCCTATTCCTTATTTACAAATATGCAAAACACTCTTTATTTAAAGAGCATTAAAGCCGTCAAAATTACAGATGAAAACTTGGGAATACCTTAATTAACAACGCTTCTGTAAGAATGACCGCTGAATAAATATTTACGTTTCCTGAAAATTCATATCAGAGAAACAGGGGGAGGGGAATAAAAAACCAAACAAACTGTAAGAAGACCCCACGGGTCTGAGCATCTGAATAAGTAAGAAAACCTTTTAGAAGTGGACGCTAGAAACGACACATCCCGTAAGAAGGTGAGCAGCAGCACGCGCGCTTGGCTTGGCTTTAAAACCAAAACCTGCGATTTCAAGACGACCCTCTAACACCGCTGAGGTTTCTCCGCCCACCCGTAACTCCATCAGGAATGAGCCGGCTTCGGAGCCTTACCTGGTTGGGTCTTACTGGGATGATGCTGTCCACCCGCTCCCTGCTGCGGAGGAGGACTGGCCCCTGCTGGCGCCGCGCCTGGCGCGGGGCTGGTGCCGCTCAGAGTCCCGGCGGGCAGTGGCTGCCCCCGCTTTAGGAGCTGCTTCTGTTCTTGCTGGCGGAAGCGTGGAGGCACCTCTCGAGGCAGGTATCGGGACGCAGCCGGCTGCTGCCCGTTGGCAGACGTGCGCTTGCCATTGCTGCTGTTGGTAATAGTGCTGGTGGAAGTACTGGTACCGGTACCGGCAGGTTGGGGCTGGCTTAAACTGGTCTTAATAGGTTCTGGCACTGCATTTAAAACAAAACAAAACAACAAAATTGGTTTAGTACCAGAGAGGTTGGGGGTTGTGGGGATTTTTTTAACTGTAAGTGAGTAAATGGGTACTATTTCTTAGTCTCAAAGTTGGCAAAAGGTGTTTTCTGCTTAAGCAAAAGGTGGTCCGGGACAGTATTTGAACCTTTGGTTCCTTACTGCAGCACATCCTCCCTCCTGTTTTAAACCATACAGAGGACAAGAGAGAGCTGTGACAATTCAGCATTGAACAGAAGGGTCAGTTAAGCTGCACTCACCTAAAGCCCCCACTGCCTTTTCAGTTCAGCAGTTGTGCAGGTTTGGATGTCAGCTTGCCAACATTAACATCAAATCCCATGGCCTACAGCCATGAAAACAAACATTTTCAGGTTTCTAATGAGCTCCCAAAACCAAGTTAAAATACCTGATACACCAGTTTATTCAACACTCACACAAACTTTAATATTCTTGTGGCCTTCATACAAACCTTCACATCAAGCACTTCAGGACACCCCAGGCGTACATCTGATATGCCCCACACTGACCCTGCCTGTAATAAGCCAGCCAGGCCACCCTGGAAAACCTGGATCAACTTCCACAGCAGCAGCAGTGAGAAGCCACCAAGGGAATGCTGAGGGTGGTCAAAGCAAGCAGGGACTTAGCCAAGCAAAAACATGGCAAGTTTGACAGGACCATCAACATTTTGCTTCTCCAAGATGTTTATTTTGGAAGCCTAAAAAAAATGTCACCTATGTTTATGTCTGTGACAAAACAGGAACTCTGGATGTAAAAAAAAATTGAAGCACCAGTAACACCTGAAGAGAAGAGAATAAACCTTCTTTGCCTTTTCAAAATGTATCACCAGCTTTGGAAACAGTTTATCCATACTCTGACAATTAAAAAGGTAGATTAAAAGTGTCATAGAATGCAGAGTAAGTATTTTCTAATATCAAATTTGCATATTCAACATGTATGTGAAAACTATTCTGTTTCCACAATATAAATAAATCTGTTGTCCACATGACAGAAAATATTACTTCATTTTAGTGGGTGCTTTTTTAACTCCTCCTACTATTGCTACTACTATTACAGCAATGTAACCATTTACCTACTAAAACCATCACTATCACAAAGATGCAAACATTTACAAAACACTTGAGACCTGAAATACTCAGTCCTTCTGCAGAGGATGAAGCTGCAACTCATTTACCACAAGATTCACCAAGAGCATTCCAGACACAGGCTGATGGACCAAAAATAATGCACCATTCCAGCAAGAAAGGTTCTCCAAGTCGGCTGACAGACCAGGCACACAAACCCTTGTGCCAACAGACGAGAAGGAATGCCAGGGAAGAGGAGGGAAAGGACAAGAGAATGGAAACCACTATCTGGCAGGATGCCAGGGGAGTCGGGATTTGTCTGGCCCTGAGATTTCATAAGGAATAACAATTAATTGAAAACATATTTCAGAGAGCAAGGCAGGCTGCTTTTTAAAAAGCATTATACTCTCTGTACTGTGTATAAATAAATCACATCTGATACTTCCAAATAGGTGTGCATATACAGATATATATAAACCCCATCACTAACGTAAGCCATAGAATACACACTTTTCAGCTTAATGTAAATTCACAAAGCTGTTCCATCAAAAAGGTGTGGCCAGAGAAACCCAATTTCAATGTTATAGACAATGTTTCCCTCTATATATCTGAATCACAGATGAGAGAAAAGAACAAAGAAAATCAAGATATCACTGTGTTTTAGAACAAAAATATTTCTGCATATTCATGGTACTGTTTTTCTCTAATCAATAGAGAAAAGTATTTTTTATTTTGTACATCAAAATCTCTTTAAAAGGGTAGTTAAATGAAAGCTCTTGCACGAATACTGTGTCTACAAATCATGGCAGCTGGCAAATAACCATTTAATTACACCACTGACAGGGAATAGAGTAAAAATCCAAACAACATCACAGTAACAGGCTTGAGCTCCAAATTCCACCTTCGTACCAGCTTAGAATTTAGACTTCAAATACAGCAATAACATTTGAGGAATATATGTTACAAAGACAATATGAGTGAATTCTAAAGTCATCCTCAGCAATGTTTAAACAGCCATTTTCAGCTGGTATGCACTGTGAGACATAGCAACGGTTCGAAGGGTCTGCCCTGCGCGTCTCACGTGATGTTTGCTCCAAGAGCACCTTTATAAACCCTTTGGCCCTTCTCCTTCCCAAAAGGCTACGTTCCAAGACCATGGCTGTCCCTTGCAGAACACACAGTGCACAAAGACAGGGTATTTCAGCTCACTGTAGGGTACAAAAGCAGAGCAGAGGGAGCCTCTCCCAGGCAGTGCCTCGGTCAGTGGAGCTCCGCGTTTAATCAGCCCCAAGGGCCGACCTGCCAATCCATGGAGAGCCCTTTCCAGCCCTGGAGGAGCAGCCTGTCCACCCTTTCACCTGAAAGTAATCCACTGTCACAGCTAATGGCATGTGGGCAGCTGTTGGGAACCCAGGAATTAAAACGGAGCCTCTACAGCTAAATTTGCCTGAATGCTAAAACTGTTGTTTAAAACGTATGGAGGGAAAGGATTTAATACTGAGTGATTTTCATAACTAGCACGTGACTGAAGAGCTGAAGCAAAAACATTTAAGCAGAAAGCCTCTTGCAAAAATACAATTAAAGGCGTAAAATAAAAGCCTTGAGATTGCTCGCTCTTAAGATGTTTGTGATGGGTATCTGCTTACTCTCCATTCCGAGCTGTACATACACTAAACAATGAGCTTGCTTGTAATAATTATCAGTACTTAATGGTATCTAAACTTCTTAATCCAATTTCACCCAAACAAATCCAATAATTACTCCATATGCTTTTTGATGATTACAATCTCGGGAATCCCAACTGCATAAAAAAGTGTTACGAGCAATTGTAGGTGGATTTTATTAATATAATGAATAGGATCAGTCTAACAGATTTCAATTACAACAATAGCTTTTAAGTACATTTCTATGACATAAGGAAAGAACATGCATAAATGAAAGAAACTGGTTAAGCCACATAATACTGATTTATGGCAGCTTTTTCCTTTCATTCACCTCATTAACATTTCTCTATATTTCAGAATCCCCCATTCCAGCCCTATAAAACTTGCATTTCTAAAGCCTCCGAGTATCAGACATTCCAGAAGAGAAACAGTTAAACCCAGAAACGCATTCTTGGCTGCTACTGTGACAGGATTTATTTACAGCTTCTATTAAACACAGCAGCTCCATTACAAAGTGCTGGATGTGAGGAGAATTTTTGATTATACAATGCCAATGCCTCACTGCGTTAAACATATCATGCCAGTGTATTATTTTTTTTTTTTTCCTTCAGCAATTCGTTCAGGTCATTGTTTGATGGGTTTATGAATTCATTACAGGAAACAGATGGATCCCATAATTCAGAGCTATTCTCCCAGCCAATCATATGGGCAATTTTTTTTCCTCATCTTGCTCCCCCCTCCAAATCAACCTTAATGAAGCCACTTCCTCCATGGCCAATTCCCTGCACATACACACTGCAGCGACCACGGCTGCTGCTTGAAGCACCCTCCAAACACTGAAGGCTTTCAAAATAAGGCTGAACAGGAGCATACTCACACAGACAACCCCTCTGAGGTCACACAGAGCGCCAGGAACTTACCCAAGTCGGGCGAAGGCAGCCACAAAACACAGGATTAGGGTGGCCAAAAATAGACATCCTCATTAGCAAGAAATCCGTTTTTATTTGCTGACAAAAGTCTCTTTCGGAAAAAAATTGTTGACACTCCCCCCCCCCCAACCTACTTTCAAAGGCTGAATTTTCATTTAACAAATTACCTCCTTTGTCTCCTAAGCGCTGGGATTTGTTATCCACAGTGACATCTACTGGCAACAGCAAAGGTGCTCAGGAACTATTGCATAAAAGCTGACTTAAATATTTTTATACAAAAATGGGTAATTTTCTGTCTGGATCGTCCCTTCCCCCAGGCTCACAAACTTCTCCTGAAAAAAACCTGCAGAAAAGTTACGGTCTGAGGCCAATAGAAACCCAAAACTCATTTTCCACAGTACTCAGAAGGGCTTTTATAATGTAACCAGAAGCTGCTGTTTGACATCAAAGCCCACATTCAGGAATAAAAGTAAAAATACATGTGTTATTGTGGCTCTAGCACTCTATCACCAGTTATTTAAAGAAATTACTTGATTTTATTGGATAAATGATATTGTAAGGAATTGGTAAATAAAGTCTTTTCCTGGATTAACTTCATTTCCCCCTCCCTTTGACCTCCCAACTGACCATGGTGCATCTTCTTTTGCTTCCTCTTCCACAGGTTTCCTCTCCACTTCCTTCTCTTGACTTTTGCAACGTTTCCTTCCTCCTTCCTTAGCCTTTCATCATCTCAGTTCTAAACCCTCTTCTATACCCCACCTCTCCTGACAGACTTCTCACTTCTACCAAGTTGGACCTTCTACACAGAACGTGAATTTTATTTTGCCAGGAAATCTGAAGTCAGACTAGGAATTAACAGGAAGCTGCAGAGTTCATGGAGAACCTCTAAATCACTTATTAGGACTTCTCAACCACCTTCAACAAGAGGTTTTACCTTCTTAAGTGCTGGCTTTATGAAAAGGTCTGAAATAGAGAAACATTGAGAACTTCATCCACCACCCACCTGTGCTTTGACTCTAGAGCAGTATATCCACAAATCCAACTGACCCTGACTCCTATCCTGACACTCATTTGTTCCTCCCTCCCCTCAGACCCCCTCACGTGCTTCAGTTCAAACAAGTTCTGCCAGTTTTCTCACATTTCCCACCTGTACCCCGTCACTGAAAGCTCTCTCTCTATAACTTAACTACGTAATGGTTTCTGAAATGACATTCGTACTTGATATTGTCATAAGCAAATTGGGGAAATGTGAGCAAAATGTAAAATTGGTTGAAACGTTCCCTGGGAGAATCAATGGTTTGCT